GTGTAATGAGGGAAAGGAGCTCTAGGCCTGGAGAAGGAAGTGCTGGTGACGCATGAAAGGTGGACCCCTAATGTGAATACTGTTAGAAATGCACTAGCAGTAATGTGAGACAATAACAAGCTAACAGTTGAGGTGAAGAATTCTGGTGTATAACTGAGTGATGCAGATGCTTAATACACTCAGCTACTAAACAAAAAAGTGGTAATGCGAATTTACCCTCCATAGAAAGCCCAGGTGATTCATGTCCAAAAAATCAACCACAAAATATGTTAGGCAGCACAGTTCTATTCACCAAGAGTTGGAATTGACTCTACAGCAACTTACCCAACCAAAATAGAAGAAATCTGGCATAGATGTGACTGAAGTCTATAGTTCTTTATGAAATAAAAGTCTCATAGTTTGCTCGAAGACAACCATCTTCATCTCTAGTATTATAAGTTAGTTGATTCTCTAACAATAATAATTGAAATATTTTGTTATAATATAAAAATCAAACTTGGAGCTAATAACGAGCCCATAGTGTTCACCTCCATCATCATCTGGTTCTTTGGGAACTAGGATAACTTGGAGAATTTTAACAAGCAATGAGCTATTGTGAGGAATAAAAGAGATAACTTATGTGACTGAGCTTTGTAAATTTTCATGTTTTATTGTTAGTAATAGAATTGTTGTTATTGTTAAGTGCCATGGAGTCGGTTCCAACCCATAGCAACCCTGAACAGGGTTTGCGAGGCTGTAAATCTTTATGGGAGCAGAACGCTTCATCTTTCTCCCTCGGAGCAGCTGGTACTTTCAAACTCAGCTGACCCTGAGGTTCGCAGCCCGATTCGTAACCACTATGCTACCAGAGCTCCTTAAGTAATAGAATTAGCAGTACATATTATTTACTCTGCTTTCTAGATAGGAAAACAGGTCCTTCACAGTTTTGATTAAGAGGACCTTTTCTCAGTTTTACAACAGTCCTGGGAAAGCAGTGGGAGCAGAGGATTTGGTCTTATATTCTGTTCTGTGTAATGGGGGTTAAGAAGAAAAGTAAGCCCTCCAAGACTGAAACTCAAAGCGAACACATGGTGAGAGAAGACGGGGAAAGGGAGCAATGAAGAAATGGGCTGAGTTTAACCACATTCATAGACTCCAGTTGACCTGGAGATGAGAGAGAGAAGAGGAAGGGCTGGTTGGTCTGAAGTGTGGTCAGACCTTAGGATTCCTGAGCCCATGGACAAGGATGTAGCCATGAAGAGCTAGAGCAGAGAGTGAAGCATCCAGCTGATATGAAGTGAGGGTGCTGCCCACGAATGCCCATATTTGCAGATAGTACCCATTTGACCTAGCCTCGATGGCTTGATAATCAGAACTTGACTTGAGAAAGATTAAAAAAAAAAAATTTGATTTGACCTAGCCTCGATGGCTTGATAATCAGAACTTGACTTGAGGAAGATTTAAAAAAAATTTTTTGATAAAAAAAAATTAGGGTAAATTGCTATTATTTGATGAACTTGACCTATACTCATGGATGTAGTAGCTCAGAATACCAACAGAGAGGGAAGGAGTCTTCATATCAAGTATCAATCCTATCCCCTCTGTACTATAGAGTAATTAGGGACAGGCAACTTAGACGTTGGCTACCTAAAATGAGGGGGCAATAAAGGCATGAAGTGACTGGCTTAAAAGATTTCAAGAAGGACTTTAGTTTCAGAGTGTGCAGGGGAAGATAGAGTCTCCACTGAATAGTTTTCATCTTGTCTAGATGGGTCTGATGAAAAGAAATGGGGATAAGACTCTTATGGTTCAATAGTGAGTAACTGTTATCATGACAAATTGTTACTGTCATAATTGTAAAGGTAGAAGTTTTGTAACAAAAACTGGGAGTACTTAATCTTACAGTCTAGAAACAGAGGACCCTAGGAGGGAGAAGAACACAAGTGGAGCACAGGACCCTATCCAGAGAAGCAGCAACACCAGAGATGGAGGCAGAGATGGGTCCTTGGAGAAAGGGAGCAGCTAAGGACTCTAGACTCATGGAAAGAGAGGGTCTGAGTGTTGGTGGCCAGGGGGCAGGCTTACAGAATTTGCCCTTTGGTTGTTTAAATTATTATATATTCCTGAGTGGTTTTGTGTATATCTCCCCCCTCCAAAAAAATAGATAGCCCAAAAAAACAGAGGGGGAATAGAAGCAAATACTGTTGAATGATGATGTACGGAGGAGATTGTAATCATTGCAATGAAACGATGGTGTGAAGCCGATGTTCTCCCATGTAAACTATCACTCAGTTCACAATAAAAACTTAGGAAAAAAAAAAAAGAAGAGAAGTAAGGATCACATATACCTGACAATGGAATAAAAACATAAGTAAACATGTCAAACGGAACTGAGGAGAAATAAGTTACTGTAGATTTAGGCAGCAAGAAAGCTAAGCTTAGCCTCAGAAGTCAGAGTTCTCAAAGTTCTACAAAATGAATGGACTTGTTTCCATAAGTTAGGATCAGAAGGACTTGCTATCTTCCTTCCAGTAGAAAGAGAAAGCATAGCTAATGTTTTCAGAACTGCGCAAAGCAAAGAGAGATAAAAGAACGTTTTGAGCTAGGCCGAGAGAGAAAAAATAGGCCATTTCATGAGCACAGAAGATTCCACATGGGTTTGAGAATTAGGAAGAGTGTAGAGGTGACGTCATCATTTAAAATAGTCAGAAAAAGCCAGAAAAATTAAGAAACAGGAAGAAAATATCTTCTGACTCCTGGTGTGGCTCTGTATTATAAGCACTGACTGGACTGCTAATCACAAAGTTGATGGTTCAAACCCACCAGCCGCTCCTCAAAAACGTTATACAAGGTCACTATGAGTCAGAACTAACTCAACTACACTTAACAACACAGCAATAACCATGAAGCTAACTCTGAAATTTATTTATTTTTTTCTTCTTCATTTAACCTGAGAACCACAAAAGAACACTTGGAGAAATGAGTGTAAGTTTTCCCCCATCACAAATACCCAGTGGCACAACCAAGATAGAACTTGGGAATCCACAGGTTTTGCACAGTCTTACTAGATACAGGGGTGGTATCAGGTGCTGAGCGTGAAGAGATGACTAACTCCTCCGAGCCTGAGGTCATACCTTACTCTCTCATCCATTATGTCTTCTGTGGACAAATAGAGTGTAATAATAGAATTGGCAGGTTAGGGACTGCTTTTTCAAATAACGGATTCTTCAGAGTTCTGACAATGTTTGGTGAGCATTTCCACTAAAACATTTTAACTCAACAGAAAGCACTGTTTGGAACCGATAAGGCAAACTAGTGTCTTGGAATGCAGCAAAAATCTCAGATTGGTATGTCTTGGGACATATATCAGCATCTCAAAATTACTTTTCATTTGGATACTTGCCATCAATGGAAATATAATTTCCTTTTAATTGAATGTGCCAGCTGATGAAGTGGCTACCCACAACCCAGGCAGGAATCTAAGAAATGGAAACTTAAAAAATGTCAACTTGTAAGCAGCTGAACGTCTCTATTGATGGAGAAGCCTGAGGAACTAAATGGATGTCATTAGAAATACATCTGAGTATTGGCCTCCTACTGGAAAAGGTCACATACCCACCTTCCATTGGTACTGGTTATGTTCTATCATTTTGTTCTGTCCTTACTCATTCATCTCCCACTGGTTTCCAGATGGCCATGATAACTCACTATCCTTAACAACTGTTTTGTGCAGTTCCCTGCAGCACGGTGAGGGCTCGAAATATTGAATGTTTTCCCTTTGGATAAGCAAGTGACATGTCTGGGAATTGCTTGCAACTGCCCTGATGGCGTGATGGGAGAGAGTGATAGCAAGTGGGCCATGGAATCTAAATTCAGTTTGACATTGTGCAGATAGTAGGCCACCAAAGGTGTGTGTTTGCCGCTTCTCAGGCTTGAGATGCAGAATCAGGTTTGTGTAAATGAGCATGAAATATAGCGAGGTGTAAATAAGCATTAAGATCATAGTAAAGGAAACTTCATTAAAGTTGCTAAAGCATTCTTCTGAGTTAAGTTGGTTCTTTCTGATGGAGCTTTCACAAGGACGCTTGGGGAGTCATCTCAGCATGATTCTATAAGTCGTGCCAAGTTACCAGATGGATTTGAGGAACATTAGAAGATACGGGTAAGGGCGTGACAAGGGATGGAGAGAGAGAGATATATCAATCTAGTTGGGGTAGATCATGTTCCTATAACAAATGTCCCTTAAAACAACAAAGGTTTATTTCTGCATACATTAGATGTTCATTTTGGATTAGCCAGGGTCTCTGCTCAACATTATTTTTACTCCAAGACTCATGTCCTATTTGGAACATTCCAGATCTCCAAAGCAAAGAGAAGAGAGCACCGTTGGTTGCCACTGGCTCTTGAAGCAGCCACCTACTTCTGTCATTTCTCTTGGTCAAAACAAGTCTCACAGCCATTTACCTCCAAGGGTGGACTACACCACCAGCCATTGGAACAGAGAATGATGCTAGTTCAACCCTTGGACATCTCTCTGGGTCCAGATAACTAACTTTTCAGAATCCTGAAGCACTGAAAATATTATCTAATCGAAAAATAGAAGCAACATCGTTAAGTATAAAGACGCTAACAAAGTTCTAATTTTTCCTACAATGATTACTTTAATGTTAGAAAATATTTGAAATTCTTTCAAAATGAGTTTTCTGCTTCACTGTTGGCAGGCCACCTAAGCATTGCTTAATCTGTGTATGGGTTCAGTTCTCCCTTTTCTCTACAACGAGGTGACAATCTGCAGGTAGCTTGAGGCATTTTTTATTTTTATGAGGATGAGTTGGGGAGATTAGATTGGGATAAGATAGACTTCAGCCTGATTATTATGATCAAGATGAACTAATATAAGAATCTTGTTTAAAACTGCACTTTTAACCTAAAACGAAAAGTGATTATCAAAATTATGCATGGCCATGAAAGTTCTTTGTTGGAGGGAAGAAGGTAATGGAAGAATTTTCTTGTTTGTTTAGGGGAGGACGAAGAAGAAACGAATGTGATTGTCCTCAGCTATCCTCAGTACTGCCGGTACCGCTCGATGCTGAAACGCATCCAGGATAAGCCTTCTTCCATCCTAACGGACCAGTTTGCGTTAGCCTTGGGCGGCATTGCAGTAGTCAGCAAGAATCCACAGATCCTGTATTGCCGGGACACCTTTGACCACCCAACTCTCATAGAAAATGAGAGTATTTGCGATGAATTTGGTGAGTTGCTGATTTTATTTATTTATTTATTTTTCCTGTGTGAAACTTTGTGTTTGTGTAGTTGTTTTCAGTTCTTCTGAAGAGCAGTGTGGGGCGCAGTGTGCATTCTTAAAAACTCAATATTCTACCCTGCCCACCTCAAAGTATTGTAGCATAAGGCGTCATTCCTTCTTGGCAGCCTCTGTTTACCATGGCTAAAGGTTATTGTTTAAAATCTGTTGTTTGATATAGTGTGAAGTTGCTTGGTCGACCTTGAAATTGGACTTTAGGACAGGAAGCTTTCGTGCTAATAACTCTTTTCTTAAAATGTTTTGGCTATTGAGAAGCTGATTTTTTTTAGTTTAACTGATCAGTCCCTTTTCTGTGTTTTAAGATACTGTAAGGATGCATTGCTTGTAACATATAATATGGTGGATAAATAGATAAATCGAATGAAATAAATAAATAGATGGTTCTATTGTCACACTCATAAATTGTTTCATATATATATATGGTTGCCACAAATTAGAACCAACTTGATAGCAAATGGTTTTATATATATAATCTTTACACACTGTGCCTGCCAAAGATAGCGATGTGCACGTTTATCTTTATCTGTATCTCTGTCTAGATGACTGGTCATCCATCTCTATAGATAGAAAGGGGCAAGGAGAAGATATCTTATCACCATTATGAGAAACCTAGCTTGGTACAGTGAATGACTGCAGGTCAGATAGTTGTCTGCTTACATCTTCACTTTCTCATATGTGAGTTGAAGAGATGGGATCATAACACTGGTTCTAAATGGACTGGGTGGGCATGTCAGAATCTCTGGAGTTGCTTTATCAAGTTACACTTTGTCCTTGGAAATTCACACTTATAGAAGCATGAATACTCCCTACCCTCACTCAACTATGAGAGGTACACTGTGCTGAATGCCTCATAGGTGCTGGGTGAAGAAGTTGTGATTCCCCTTGTTTACAGAGAGTCTAGAACCCCTTTCATCTGTAACATTCTTTGATTCTGTCTGCTAATGATTCCCCAAGGATCTGTAGTTTGCAGATTATTCATGACTTTCTATTTAACCATTGAAGATCTGAGCCTGGTTTTTAAGGTCCACAGTGGTCACTCTAGTTTTGTTCTTCATGAGTCCAGCAGCCCTAATGCTGCCACTGAAGAGGTTTTATCAGTAGATGTGTGGGTAGAGTAGAGTGAGAATGAAGGGATAGAAAGGGATAATATAAAAAGGAAGGGAAACCAGAGAAAAAGAAAAACAAAACGGCTAAGGTCATTGGATATATATTTTTCTCCCTCACATATGTTTTCAGATGCTTTGCACAACTCTGGTTTATTAAATGCTGCCAGTCTATATATATGAGTAACTGTGTTTGTACAAGTTCTTTTTTCCTTCTTCAAAGAAATATATATTGTCATGTTTTAAATATTCATATAACTTCTTTATGAAGTAGAAGACTATATCTAGTACATTTAAAAAAAATGCGTTCTCTTTTCTTCAGACAAGCATCTAGAAATCCTCCTTTTTCAGTATTTCAGGTGTGAGTTTTTCTTTCTTGTCCCCTCGCCCCATACCTTTCATCTTGCTTTCTGCCTAACAGATCTCTAACTTCCTGATACAGCTGAAATAATGTTTTCCCTCATTTAAGAATATTCAAAATTAGAGTTTCACAATGTAATATATTGCAAAAATGTTTTAACCTTTTGGGCTAATTTAAGAGTTATTAGTCATTGAGTTTCAAAGCTGTTGCATATGGTAATAGAAAAGAAGTTCCTATTTAACAGCGATGACAATGGCTGTTAAAAGTTACTTAAATTAGTTTTAGATATTCTCACAAACACAAGCATCTGACTTTTGAATGTTTGCCTGAACTTTCTTCTGGTGTGGCTAATTTTGATGTTGTTTTTCTTATTCAGCCTCTTAAAGTGGAAACTTTCTTTGGGAATAAAAGATACCTTTAAAGAGCTTCTAGCTGGCTAGTGTATGAATTAGAACATTAGAGTTAGTTTTTTCTTTGTAGTTAGATTTGTATTTCCAATTCTCATAGTATTTCCTTTTAAATGAATAAAATAGCTAATTTTGACCTGATTTAGCACCTTCCCCAACCTCTCTCCCCCACCTTCTACTTTCGGTCACACATCTGAATTTCCCAAGAACACCCTTTTAAGCCTCCAACTGGTTGTAGTTGAAATCAACATGGGTTAAAGAGTTTTGTGAAAATATGGGGTTGGGTTTCTCCAACCAACTAACAGTTGGTAGAAGAACATAAATTTAATTAGTGACTAGCATTAAACAAATGTTCCTAATATTAAACACTGCCAGATGACTGAAACACTTCTGTCAGATTACCGTGGGTTCCAGGGGGCCCCCAGATGAATTTTCTACACAGTATATATTCTGTACCACACATTTGGTGACTTCAGTAATTGGTCAAATGTAATTGAGGTAACAGTATGCCTAGGCTGTAAAAATCAAATTTTATTAGCCATATCACCAGGTGGATGAATAGTAGAGCTGATGGCAGAGTTTATAGCATTTAGCAGCTACACCTTTGACACATGAAATTCATAAATTGCCATGAAATACCTCTAAGGCCTTTTCAAAAGGGCAGTGTCTGCTTTTCCTATGATTGAATAATGTTTCTTTTATTAACTAATATATTTTTTTATTTCTTCTTATTAAATGGGAGTTTGGAGTGAGGGGTAGCAAGGGGGTGTCCAAAAGATAAATAAAACCTGGTCTTTGCTTGATTTGAGGGTTTAAAATCTAATTGGGAAAGACAGAATTAATGCACCTAAAAGGTTAACTAATGTTTCAAGAAAGTCAATGATTAAGTATTCTGTGAGTGGTCTAGACAGCAAGTGCTGTATGAGTTTAGCAGGGGCCAGGGGGCGGGGACAGGGTGGTTAGGGAACAGGGGTCAGGGAAAGCTTCATGGAAAAGACAGGACGGATCTGGTTTTAAAGGATTGAGAAAGAGGTTTTATTAGAAAATTGTTGCAAATGTCTAATTTCTTTTAAATTCGTGTCTTGATGCCCCATGTTAGCTAATGGCTGCCTTTACTATATGGCTTGACTGTTGGTCTCTCTTTGGTTTGACTGCCCTTAGTCACTACTGTTGGTAGGTCTTGCCCTTTGGATAAGTTTTATAAATGGCCTGATTTGCTCTATCAGTGAAATGTGAATGTGTAAGTTAGGGAACCAGGACTGGGAGAGGCTCGGGGAGTGACTTTGGGACTGAAATTGGAACTTTCTTCCTTTCTTGGATAGGGGTGGCCTCACATTGTCACCATGCACTGTATAGCTTAGGAGTCCCTGCTTGACACAGACAGTTAAGAGCATGGCTGCTAACCACATGGTGGTAGGTTCTAGTCCATTGCAAACATAGGCCTTTTGATCTTCTTCAGAAAAGTCAGCCATTTGAAAGCACTATAGAGCATGGGTCTACTCTAACACACAGCGATGACCATGATTTGGTATTTTTTGTTTTACTATACAGATTACCAGCATTTCCGTGGGTTCCCTTGGCTCTGTGTGACAAGCTTGTTCAACTACCTAGGACCACCCCCCACCCCCCCACACACTTAATGGTGCCCACTGAATAACAAGTTTAATTGAACAATAAAAATACGACTTTTAAATCTACAGTGAGTCCCTGTAAATAAATTCTCTGTGGAATTTTATGAAGCTGTTTAATGAAAAGTTTCATGAGAAACTATTAAAGAAAAATAGAAGAGATGAAATTTCATCATTTAGTCCAACATTACACTAGTGTCATTTTGGGTTTTATTTACATTGACATATTCAGAATACAGTAAATATATCCTGGTTTTAATTAACTATCTTCCTTACTTGGGAAAGGTTATTTTAGGCTTGAAGGGTTTTGATAGCATACCATCTGGTTTCTTCACTGTATTTTTTCCAAGCCCCTTCCTTGCTTACAGTATACTATTCGATGTCTAACCCTATGACATACATATAAATTGAATCATATTAATGCTGGGTGATTGAAAAGCTTCAGCTTTGACATCCTGCCTGCATTCTTGCATCTTGTCAATTACAATGCTCTTAAAGGTAATGTGCTCTTCTTCTTCAGCACAAGAGAACTGACTAGTTTCTAAAGGAAAGCATTGGACTCCACACTTAAGCATTACAAAAACTGGTTATGTTGCCCGTGCTATTAGGAAGTGAGATCGTAATAACGATGAAGGGGAAATGACATGATAGGTGGCAGTTTTTCTTTTCATAAAAAATCTTTATCTTATGTATAATTCCTGCCCCCACTATCCTGTTAGAATGTCTTAATATAAGGCGTTCGCTGACAACCTCTCATCTTGCTTTTACCTCTTTTTTTAATTTGATCTCTGTGATGTAAAATGCATACTCTCATTTATATTGTGCTATTTTCTGTGTTGTGAAGAAAACATACAAATACAAGCATTTGGACTCTTTTTGCTGCCATAACAATAAAATGTCCACTGGTTGGTAATGCACATGTTTACATTACTATCACACAGATTGATTTCACATGTGTGAAGTGTTGACTGTTACATTCTAAACAGACACAGTCGGCACACTGGATAAATAGGTAGCTTTAAGGTACTGGCTTTTATCAGAGCAATGCTAAGTGGACCCACTGTACATAAATGAGATTAAATAGATGAAGATATGGTTGTTGGGGCTGAGAGTTTGGTTATAAAGAGACATAAAAAGTCACACTTCTAAGTTCTTTAGCATTTGAGGGTTTGTGCTTACATATGTGTGTTTTTTTGACCACGAAGTGGGATGAATTTAAGGAAGGAATGTGGTCTTTCTTTCAAAAAGAATAGAGATGAGATGTACTGCCATGTTGGCAGTTGGCTCATGTGCAGGACACCAGGGGCTCTGATCTTCAGCAATAGGTAGATTTCTATGTCAGTACTAAAAACACCTGGTAGCATAGTGGTTACGAATCGGGCTGCGAACCGCAAGGTCAGCAGTTCGAAACTACCAGCTGCTCCGCGGGA